GTGGAATAGAACTTCCCAGGGCATTCATATTTCCATATTAATACAGTATTTGATATTACACAATAGTTGTGAAAAGAATACAGTTTATGTTGTTTTTCTAACCAGAGTCATCAATTGCAATGTCAACCATCAGTTGGAAGTTGAACTTATTAAATTTATTAAGAACAAGTGTAAAAGTTGACATGAAGCTGTAAATTATTCCTCCATACCCTCTGCTTCTGAAACACTACTGAGAGATTAGATTTTCTATACAGTTGGTCTAACATTTATCTATTCCAGGATATGACAAAGTTTCTTAATAAAACTTCCCAATGTTTATAATTATATTTATGGAAGTTTCAGAAGACAGAATGAGCTTCTTCCCTTTTATTCTTTTATTAGTACTGCTTGCATTGCATACAAATATTGGGAGTTACCAAAAGTAATAATGTGCATGCTTTAAAAAGGACAGGAATTAGAGGACAAAATGTGAACAATACTGCTTAAAAATTTCTGAAGGAAGATGTCTTCTGATCAATAATGACTGTTGACTTCAAACCACGAAGTCAACATGCAGAGAAAAATGCAACCCTGGTCGATTACTGTGAATGGCAAAATACCTCAGTTTCTTTTGAAAGCTCCTTTGAGTTGTCCTTGGTTATAATTTTAAAAATTAAATTCATTGGCAAACAGGGCAAGCTATAAATCTCAGTATTCTTTGACTTCACATATTTTTGCTAAATCTTTGGTTCCTAATGCTCTACAGTGCAAAGAGATAGACATGCTTGACAGGTAAATGTCAGCCACATCAATCATACAAAATATACATTAACGCTATACAGCCAATTCATCAAGCGACTGAAGTCCAAAATGCTTTTTTAGTTGGCCTGACTTTCCAACATGGCTTGAATGAAAAGCTTGAATCCTCTGAATTTCTGTTAGAGGTATTAACTCTTCCAGTCCCCCTGAAAACTGCAGTCACTATTCTTGCATTTTACAGGCAAACAGAAAACGTGTGATGTCAGCAACACACTCTGGTTATCCTCCTTGGGAATTCTGATTTGAAGATTGTACCCCAAAATAGTGACTCATCTAAAAAATTTTGGTTCCTGACCATCATTTTCCCTGTATCAGGGTAGACAGTTTTGTTATATTAAGAAGTCAGAATAAGAATCCTAACAAATGCCTTAAATTCCATATGTTTTTCTTACTAACTCCTTAGAGATTAAATTATATGATCACCATGAGGAAGAATATATTGATTCATAATGAGTTGCCTTGGAGAATGCTTGGCTAAAATTCATTTGCTTGTGTACAGCACTGATATTTTTAGAAATGTTATCCACTTTGTCCTGTAAATAGGTTTTGGGAAGGAGAGGCAAGGATTCCTTAACAAGAAATGATATTGATTTATGTATCTTGGGTCGGGCATCAGATATAAAAAGCCATCTTGCCTGTAATCTTACTAGGAGAATTATGCAAGGAAAGTGGAGTTTACTTTGGGATCTTCCTGTCCTTAAATGATTTGTTTACAAGTCAAAGAGGAATACACATGCCCTTACTCTAGTCACATTTCCTTGTATGTTTGTCTTCAAACCTTGAAAAATTTGTCCATCTACTTGTTCAGTCCATGTCAAAGATGGGATTTAAATAATTGGCATTAGCAGCAAAGAAAATCATGAAATACACAATTATGTTAATCAGATCTTGTAAATGTCTCTCCAAGACAGGTTGCAAGGGGTGAAATACTAAATGGGAAATTTCTAGGGTCCTTGTTTTAAACACAGAGTGTGACAGTACTGTAATGTGTATGGGTATAAATTGATTGCCTATGCCTGTTTGGTTTACAGTGACTGATATTAATTGAGCAATTTATATAGTGTAAAAATCCTTTTTCCTCCTGCAAAAGATTATCCAGGATATGTAGATAAGAAAGTCAGACCTTTCAGAAAATCTTAGCTCAGAATCAAAGGGAAACACAACCTCAGCTTGCCATGTCCCAGTCATGCTACCGATTAGACTGTGTCCCTCCTATTCAAGTGATGTATTGCCTTGTCATTTTGACAAACTGAAGTTTTGTGATGGGAAAACCTTTTCAGGAAAGAAAGAAAAATCCTGATCACTCTAGCTTCTTTACCATTCCTACATAATTAAAACATTATTCCCTTTGTTTACTGTCCAACCTAGTATTTCTTGCATGCTCAATATGTTTTTACAAGAAAGAAAATTTCTGTTTTAACATTTTTCCTGAAGGTTTATGACAGCCCTTCTCACAGTTTATCAGGATCACTTTTTTTGAGGTATCATATTTAATTATTCAAGACTTCCTGAAAACTCCGGAGAATTTTGTGTACTGCAGGCTAGAAAAGAAAGGCAAAAAATCTATAACATATATTGATAAATGTCACCAGTAAGGATGATATAGGATGCTATTTCATATGGTGTTGCAGTTTTAAAACCTTTATATTAATTTGCCATATAGTAAATTACCAATTTAAATAAAAGGCCAACAGATAATTGTATTCCTTTACTATGAGGAACACTTGAACTAATTTAAAGTAATGCAGCAAATTATCTAAAACCATTTAGTCAAACATACTAGAGAGGGGTCAAACCTAGGGCAGCACTATTTAAATCAAATTGAATTCCATCTTGAGAATGGATTTCAAATAGATTTTTAATTGCAGTATTTTGTCCACAGGGCATTCTATCACACACTTTTCATTTGCAAGTAAAAATCTACCAGTGTCCTTCATCAGTATAGTGCCAGGTCTCTTATCATTACAAAATTTCTGTATTATGAAGTGGGTAAATATGTTCTGAGGCTTTCATTCTTTGCTCATTTTGCTTATAGTTAATCTCTCAAGCCAAACACTGGGTACTTCCCAGGTCTGGTTCATTTTGTTAAGCAGAAAAACAGGAAACAAACCCATAACACTAGTTGGGCTTTTCCTCATACACCAGAGAGAAACTACAAGGATGGTGCAGATGTTTTCCTGTAATGGTGTGATCCACAGCAGGAAAAGTTGGTCCGTGAAGCTGGCAGGGTGGCTACCCAGAGCCTGCAGGAGAAGCATGCAACCCCATGCATGAAGGGCGCTGTCACTTCATTGCTCTCTGGTAGTACTGCCTACACACGGAGGATGCCAAGCTAAGGATTTTCTTGGTGCTATGAGGGTTTTGGTGTGAAGCATGGCAGTCTGCAAAGGAAAGTATATATGGCAGCACTGGCACTGGAGAAGCATCCCCTGGAGCACGGGGACACCCAGCTGTGGGCTTTCACTGTGCTTCCAGGTATACACAAGGCTATCAGTGATCCCCTCTTCTATTCTTTTACTTCAGTGTGGATCACAACCCCAGAAAGAAATAGAAAGGTGAGGTATTGCCATGAGGACAACAGAAAAGTTATTATGTTTCGGATACATTTTGGTCTTTCCTCAAGCCTTATACAAGTTGTCCTTACCACTGCTGGAAATCTAACCCCAGGAAATTAGGTTTAAAGTACATTGGAAGAAGACATTGTCAATGAAGGCAGGCTCCTAAGTTATTTCCACTAGTGGAAAAGAAGTAGTAAATGTTTTGCAAGAAGGTGATATGCAGTATTTTTCAATTAAAGACAAAATCATATAATCCTTTCAAAAGCACAGTAACAAGTTCACCTTTTGTAAATACCCTTCTGGATAGACTGCAATAACTAAACTGTTCTATTGGTTTGTGAGTTTTTTGGACAAAACTTTTGCTAAGTCAATAGTAACTACAAATGTACTTGTTTTTTTCTACAAAGAAGACTTGCAGGAAAGGTTCATTTTTAAAATACTGACAAATTATTTACAGAACTTTTATTTACAATTAGTCCTGGTTACAGTTCTATTTCAGGTATTCTGTTGTGGGTTTCAGATTGAGGGGGTCATCACAAATGAAATGTTCAGTTCTAGATATGAGAGACTTTGCTTTGTTAGAAACACTTTTGTTAAAGACTACAAAAAGACATTAAGTACCTGGGGTTTTTATTTGCTGTTCTTCCTAACACGGTACTCTCAGTGAAAATTAGCACAACAGAGAACTTTTGCATCATTTGCATGTCGTGTAACTTCTCAAAACAATTCAGTTGTAAATTTGCTTTAAATACTTTTATAAAGGACCCTAAAGTCACATGCTAATAGTCCTAACAAGCAGCTGATATTAGTAAACACACTGCAGCCAGGACACACTACAAAATTAAAGGCAGCTAGTTCCAGGAACTGGAGCAGAAATACAGTACAATAACACAGACAAAGATTTTTAAATCTATCCTCGTTGGGTGAAAACTACCAGTAGAAGTGACTCCTGCCAGTGTGCAAGTGGTGCAGCTCCTCACAGAGACAGCAGCTACAGCAGGGAGTTGGAGAACAGCACTTTCAATAGCACTTGGGTTTAGAACTGGGCATGGTTCTGGGTCTACCAAACCAGTGGCATCCAGCTCCAGCGCAGGGCTGATTGTGGCAGATGTGCCAGAAGTTCTCACGATGAAGAAGTGACCATGTCATGTGAACAGAGAATGTTGGAAAGCAAACAAAATGGGTGTGGAAGTCCTCAAATCGGGAAAGTTTTTTCCCCCCTACAAAAATTTATGTTTAATGTAAAAAAAAAAAAAAAAAAATCAATATCTTCCCTAAATCATGGCCATAAAGAAAAAAATTTTTACATGAAAAATGCAAAAAAAAGGACAAAACATTACTTTTTCACTCTAGACTTTCCATGTAAATACCTGCACAAGTCATCTGAATCTGTGAAATCTAAAGGGCCTATCTGTGCTGCTTTGTAAATATTTGATTTCTGAACTAAAGTTCAGTTAGGTAAATGGGATTTTTTTCCATGTTAAGCTCCTAGCATAATAGATCAGGCAGGCCCTTCTATTGATGTTAAATTGTATATTGGTCGCCAAGTAAATTTGACAGTGAGACTAGCTGTTGTAAATTCATCACATAAAAGTTTGAAATAAAATATATATATATTTAAAACTTCTGTTATTCACTTGACAGACTTGAATCAAAGGAGCCTTTCCTGTCCGTTGGGTAAGTAGGAATATGTATATTTCCATAAATACTTATATATTCAACTACCATACAATATATGTGCATGAGATTATGTTGAGTAAAAACATCCTGTTTCAACTTTATGGTTATTTACTGTACCTAAGCTTAGAAAAAGTAGTTATTAGCCAATAAAGTCAGCAGTTGTGGATATCTCCCTTAAAAAATAATAAGAAGTATGTTTTGCCTCTATTGACTAACCAAAATTTATACTAAAAGACATATAGGAGTTAAATGTTGCATTGAAAGGTAGCTGGTTTATGATTTTGTTTTCACTGATCTTCAGTCAGAAACCATTTCAAATATTGTCTATATCACCCTTCTAAGCCCCTGAACAAATAATTGATAGTTTCTTTTAAAATAAAAATTTTTTGATACTTCAATAACAGAAACAAAAGCAAATTTACAAAATAGAAAAATATCACGTTTAGCCTAATTATAGATCAGTACACTGATTTGCATATTACAGCTATTGTCTTCATAGTCTCATAGCTGCTTAAAGTTATTATATATTGAAATGATTAACTCACCTTTCTAAAAACTTATTTTTAAATGCAACATATTCTGAAAAAAAACCTACCATTCTTTTATGAAATGTAGACCATTATATATATTAAAGGTAAGTATCTGTATTTTACTTCAGAGTCTGAATTTCACTTTTCATGCACTGTTTTCCTTTTAGCTTCTTTCTTTAAAACCTACCTAAGTTTCCTAACATTCTCACTGCCTGTTTTCCTTCAGAACTGTATATTCTTTATGTCTCTTCATTCTCATTTTTCTTTGTTCACACCACCATGCTTCATGCTACCAAAAACATAAACTGCAGACAAAAGATCCCATGCAAAATAGCTGTTTAACAGCTATTTCTACCATGTAATTATCAGTAGCTTCCAAATTGTTGTATTAACTGCAGATCAGAAAACTACTTCAAGTTCTGAAGTGCGAATTACAGTTAGCAAACAAAGGAAGTGCGTCAGTTAGGAACAAAGAAACAACAAATCAGCATAAGCAGGACTGAGATATGTCTGAGTTGCTATAGCATAAAGTAACTTTGTTTTGTTTGAGTATATTTTTAATTAATTGCTTTCCATTTCTACTTTCTACCAACTCAAAATTATTGAAAAATAAGTTCAATGGTGGTCAAAATGGGGGGGGGGGGGTGCTCTTGGTCTGCAAGCTTTGAAATGTCCAAATTCATTATCAAATTCAGTCACTCCTGTTATTACCCTTCATTACTCCACTTTGTAACTTGTCCTATTGAGTTGGTTTTTTGAGGCCTCCACTCTTGTAATGAAGTGATGACCTGAAAATCTCCACTTTAAGATTAAAAAAGACGTTGCATGCTGTTGTGGCTGAGGAGCAAACTTGAAAGTATAAAAGTCCAGGAAGCAAATAAAAGCCAATGGTAGCAATTATATTAATAGTAATTGCCACGAAATAATAAATCCTAGTTTTGTAGTTCTTGTCATGATCTTAAGAAATTTGCGGGCAATTTTAGGTTATTTGGGGATGTCTACCTAGGAGGAAGCATTATGTGTATGTTTTGGGGTTGGGTTTGTTTCCAGATGAGCAGATTGGTGGCCACTGCGTAAATCCACATTACCTCCATGTAGACATTGTATGTGACTGTTACTAAACTGGATTCCTCTTGGGAAGTCTAATCTGAGCAAATAGACTTAGCCTCTTCCCAGGACTTCCTAGAAGTTTGACTGTAATGTACTTGAATTATTTTTTGCAAGTTCATAATGATAAGGGTAGAAAATTTAAAAATTAGTCCCCACCTCTGTGCTACTTTTGCCTTTTACTGCTGTATTTCCTCCACCCTAAAGGAGGGATTCAGACAGAGGTTAGAGCGCTGTGCTCTGAGGAGGGGTGCTAGCCATCATCCACCTCCTTGGTGCTAAGTCAGAGAGATGCTCCTCCTAGTCCCACAGTAACTGGGGGGCTCATTTGTTCAGAGGATGAGGTCTTGTGCCAATACCTGCACCTAAGGTTTTAACCCAGACTGGCGGCTGCAACCACCAGGCTTTTAAAATACAGCAAATGTTTGCAGAAGAAATGCTGAATCAACCTCAATTAGACTAACACATAAGTGCCCTTAATGCCTCTTGCAGCCAGAGTTGGTCAAAACACCAATCTAAATTACTTTAAGTTGCCTACAGATGACTTGGTCCTGCACACAAGCCTTTCATTCATCTACCTTCTGCGACAGAGATTTGTTCACACATTTTCATTATACTGCCTGTATGGGCTAATTATGCTTTTTCATTTTGCTATGCCTTAGCTAACAACTTCTTGGTGCTTTTCAATTGTTAATTCTTTTGATGGAGTAAGGGAACGTGAAGTGTGGCAGACTAAGAGCCCGAGACTGCCACAGTTTGTTGAGCTCTGCATGTATGTGCAGGGCTGCAGCCTTCCCGTGAGAGATGCCACAAAGGACAAGGGTTCTTAAAATGATGCATTGTTTCCCCTCTCTCAGAAAGCAGCTAGCTACAGAGAGAAGCATACCCCACCTCTTGCTGCTGTAGTTTGTGTCTCGAATGCAGGGAGAGAACAACTCCTGTACTCCCTTGGTAAAGGAAACTCCATTTATCCTTCTTTCTATGCAAAGTGCATAGCAAAGAAGAAAAATCCATGCTCCTTTACTCCCTGTGCAAGACAGGGGCATAATTTGGCACTGAAGTAACGGTAAGGTCTTTAATGCAATTCTCTAATGGTAGCAATCAGGAGCAAAAATTCATCAAGTATGTGATCTATTCAGGTAAGAGTATCTGAATTCAATGCTATGATTTTGAGCTAGAATACGAAGTTGAATTTGAGATGCATGTTGTCTTCCTTACTGGGTTTTTTCCTTCCTAAAATCCGTAGGGAAGGCTGAAACTTCTCTTGAAAGTGCTGAACGCTGAGTGTTAGCCTGTAGGGGCACAGGATGCTTCTCCCCATAGAAGTTATTTCCACACTTCTGGGGGTTTGTGTCCATATTCAACCTGAGCAAGACAGACAGTTGTCTGGATTTTCTTTCCTCTTCAAGTTATGTAGCATTCATGTTCATGTAGGGTTAGAATAAAAAAGAAGTTTTGCAAATAGCCAGAATGCCTGGAAGACTTTACCATCAGAGGCAACAGTTCTGGTAAAATTCCACCAAAGTGAAGACTACTGACAATGCATCAAATTAACTTGATGCAGAAGTCTTTGAAACATTCAGACCTAGAAAGACCAGGTAGGTCAAGAGGTACAAGAAACTGGGTACTGCAAAAAGGACAACTTAACAGCCAGCTCATATTAAGTTCATCCCACTTTGTGGCAAAATATGTATAATATTTAAAAAAAAATATTTAAAATGCCAACAACTTTTAACTATCCACATTTGCTCTCCATATTTGGCATTTTGTTCTTAATAATGATGCACAATTATCCCTTCAACAAAACTGTTATCATTCTCTCTAGATGATTAGATTGATAATGCAGTTACTAACTATTCACCCAGCTATTTCATGGCAGCTGATTCATGGTAACTATCTGTATGTAAAAGTTTAGCCCTTGATAAATTCCAGATAATACTGCATGCAGATTTGTAATTGGTCATCAGTCTGACCCCTAAAATTCAAAACTTATTTTGTAAGACACAGCTATTGCAGCATCTTTTAAGACCTGTAATAGTATTATATAGCCAAGAGAGACCATAATTATTTTGTAACTGTCTCGCACAGTAAAAGTTCTTTGAATTAATTCTTGTTTGTATCTAACTGTAATTGTATGTAACTTTCATAATAACATCCGGTCTTTACTTTAACACATGCAGTGGTAGAAAATCCATCAGAGCAACTAATAACTTTGTCAAACTTTTAAAAATATTTATCCTCTTTAGATGTCATTTAATAATATATCCCATATTGCTGAATACAGAAGAGACATGGAGATAGAGTAAGAAACAGAGCTGATTTTTTCTGATGTTAGTGAGAAGTTAGATTCATATGCTGCCAGCTGAAAAGAATGGCATTACTTCTGGATAAGCAGGCAATAGCTCTACAGTCAGATGGTCTTGGAAAATGCATGTGTTTTATACATCTGGTTGTCAACTGAGATTCAATCTATTTCTCTTTCTTTTGTGTAGATGTTAAAAAACAAACACAATACAAACTGCTGACTTTTTCACTCTTTTTTTCAAGATTGGCTGTTTGCTATAAACAGTATAAATTTAGGTGGAAAGCCCAGAGAGAGACATAAGTGAAATGAACACATTGTATGCAGTTATTACATGATGTTGTCTGTTGTGGGAGAAAGCAGACAGATACAAGTAAAATTGGAACTAATTGCTGCATTTTTTTTTTACATTCTCAGTAAAAAACTAGAGATCTGTATGAACTACTACTTTCCTCACCAAGGTCCTGTTTCTAGAAAGTATATGAGAATAGAAAATACTGAAGAGCCATGTTTTTCCAAATCACAGCTTAATCACAGTACCTTTCGAATCATGGTTATTTACTTCTAGAAGAGATGGAGGAATTTTGGCTGGCTCAGCTTTAGGAAGTGCTTCCAAAATATAAAAAGTAAAATTCTTTCATTTTCTTCTGGCAGAATTGTTCTGAGAAACATCTAACAACTGGAATTTGTCACCCACATTTCTTCTTCTTGCTCAGTAATATTTTCTTTTCCACATGGCCATTTTGCAGAGATCTATAGGAAATCCCGCACTCAAACACCAGTTTGAGGGATCCCATTCTGAAGAAGTGAGATAGTTAAAAAAAAAGCCTAGTCCTTGCAGGCTCTGTTAGGATAATATTCAGTCCACTTCCAAAATACGCAGGTTCCTTCAATTCACAGTCAGGATTTGGTTTGTTTGTTGGTTGGGGTTTTTTTTTGGGGGGGGGGGGTTGCAGACAATAGGTTATAAGGCACAAAACAGAATGTAGCCACATGTCATCTTCAGTACAACAAATACCACAACAATTGTCCCCCATCCTGATTATCAGATAGCACCA